AGAAACTGCTGCTGACACTCAGGAACATGCGAGTTAATACAAAAGAACACCTTACATAAAATGAATGCACTTCTCGTAATAAACAATGCTCGAGAAGCAAACAATACTTGCTGAAACAGAACACAGCAGAAATGTAATTAAGAGGGCAGTAGTTCCAGTGATCCTTTGTTGCTAACTACTCACTTTCCATTCTGTCAGCAAATCACTTTCTGGGTTACCTTTTAGATGCTTTAAGTGAACAGGTATTTTTTATATTAATATTGGTATACAGTAAATATCTGTATTAATTTTAACTTTACTTAAGTGTTGCAATTTTATAGTTCATGGAAGGTTTTGATGGCAGAAGCAGACACTCTGGATGGAGGAACTTGATATATCGATATTATGTGGAGACTTTCTGGTCATTAGATACTAAAATGCACTGACAAAAGTATTTCAAGCGACACTGCACTAGATGTTGTTATTCACAGGAGTAGAAATCTGCACTTAGCTATTGATCCGATGGTCCGGTGGCCGTAGCTGGTCTGCGGCAAGCTGTGTTTGCGTCGTCCGTACCTGTTAACTCCAGAATCGTGGGTGTTAAATACCTTATTCATTATATATTTTCTAAATACAGTCAGAGGACACGCACAAAACGTCGGAACAATTTATTATTCTCACGGTCAGGAAATGTTAGCCCCACGCCCAACCCGCAAGTCGGAGGATCACCCCTTGTCGGCTGTATGCGAATGCGTATTCGAAACACTCCCTATCTGGCGGCCATAGTCAATCGTGATCCTGGTTTTGTGTGGACTACGGGGCGAAGTTCCCGCCCTCTCTGCAGCCAGTCTGTTTCTGGGGCCACCTAGTCTGCTATCCCCTGACCACCGAGGATCAAGCAGGACGAAGCGTGAAGATAACGCTTGGGCACAGGAACAATTATCGCATCAACGAATTATCTGAGGCAGAATCAGAATCAGTTAGTAGGAAAACTCAGGGAAATGACAAATGCATGTAAGGAAAGTATTAAGTATTACTGTGTAGGCTTGAGAATTAATTCCTGCATAGTAATCGTCACAGGTCGATGATTGTGATGCCTTTAAGGACTATATATGCTAGTTATGCTGTGCCCAGGTGTTGATCAACACTGCTTCAGGCTCAT